AAAGAGCCACAGAAGTAAAAGCTCATAATAATAATTGAAACAATCTTTGGAAAAATGACTTACCAAGCATGGCAAACAACTCAAATATGTAGAGCAAAATGTTCTGAAACGGCTTCACTTCAGCTTCGATTGGAGCCGTGCTGGGGGCGGAGTCTGTGAATTTACAGCCCCTGTAGGAGTTCAGAGTTAAGAGGTCAAGAGTTAATGTTTCCATTGTAACACCTCCAGATTTGACAGAGAAACACTCATTTTTAACACTCGATTTTAACTACTATCATTTTACACCTCAGAGTTACATTAAAAGAATGTGACTCTGCTTAGAGTAAAATTAACTCTACTTTTGCAAGAAGACTATTAACACCAAAACATTTAACACTTTTGAATTTGCTGTGTACTAAATATAACATATTTCAAATTGTCAGTAACTTGTCCGACAGTAAATAACTGACATAACTAATTACTTTCATACAAACCAATCAGTAAGTTATTTTGTATATTTTTTAAACGAGTAATCAGTTATAAATAACTATTTACATTTCTGAAGTAACAGTAAGACTACTGACAACATTAACTGTTACTTTTTTTTCTAAAACTATCTTTTGTTTTTCTTTTCTTTACCTTTTTTTCTTAGTAACTCAGGAGGTTATGTTTTTGGTGGCATTTGTCTGACTGTTAGCAAAATAACTCAAAGTTACGGACAGATTTTAAATTTTCAGGAAATGTCACAAATGGGCCAATAAACAAGTAATTCAATTTTGGGAGTGATCATGCATGATCAAGGAATTTAAACTATACTGTACTGAACTCTCCATGTGCTTTGCTAGTCTTTTTAATCTATTATCAAGTACTGCTTTGTTTGTCATTTTAGTTGTCATTTTAAAAGCTCAAATTAAAGACATCAGTCAGTAAAATTACCTTGTACTTTATGGGCATGAATCTAGCTAACTAATGAATGCAATATTGTTTGGTGATTGCTACCTATCAATGCAATAATTTATTTCTGTTTTAATAGATATATTTTTGTTATTCTGTTTCAGAGTGGATTTCAAGAAGATGGAGAGGATCTTGAATCTTGACATTTATAAACATGCAACTGCATTTCTTCTTCAAGCCAAGGAAACCCATCGACTGACACAGGTAATTTATGCCATTAATTTTCCATTGAATTGTATTTCATTGTTATAGAACCTAAAAGCAATATGCTTAACTTATGCTTAACAGTGCTCAAGCTATAACTTGGGCACTGTTCAGACCTGGCATCCTGAATGATCTGATCATAAATGGACAGCTTTAGGTATGTGAATGAAACACCTGACATTAGAATGTGTCTCCATGTACTTCATGGGTGACCACTCAGATCTCACTCCCCCACTATATATGGAAATAGACATCTATGTTGCATCCAAAATCTGCCTATCACTATATTTCCTTAGCATGAGCTAATAATAGAGACAACATAATACACACAACACAAATTTTTAATTTGCATTTCCACCTATGATCCGATTCCTCAAAATGCATTATAATTAAGTGAAAACAAGGTTTTAACGTTGCATAAGGCAATATTATTCTTTACAAAAAAAATTGGGTGGTGGGGGTAACTTATTTTGCTCATTGCATCGCACTAACTTTATGTAACTGAAGGTTTCCTTTTTCAAAAATTGTGTCTCTGTGAGTTTGCATGTTGACTGTGTTTTCATATGAATTTTGTAATTAAGGATTTTCCCTTGCTTTTTCCTCTTCCACAGAGAGCTGTTAACAACATCGTGAGTGGAATCCAGCAATATCAGGCCGTATTATTGGAGCACCTAAAACAACAAATGAGTGACATGATTGAGAGACATTCTGGGGACCTGGATCAACAAAAGAGTGATGCAGTGGGGGTATTTGACCAGTTTGTTGACCCTTTCACTCAAATTGCTTCCACCCATTTGCAGGACAAGACCATCAAAGAACTGTTAAAACCAGTTGAACCAGAGATTGTCACAAAACAAACAGTCTGTTATTCGAAGCGTGGAGACTCCAGAGTTCTTGCCATTAAGGACCATTGTTTTCATTACATACCGTTGGTGAAAAGTTTGGAGCAGCTGCTATCACATCCAAGAATGCTTGCAATGATTGATGAGAGGCCAAAGCCATGCAAGGATGTCTTTCTCCATGTTTATTAAAGTCCCTACAGCATTACAGTTGATTTTATATACAGATGAAATTGAACTATGCAATCCTCTTGGATCTTGGGCAAACAAGAACAAGCTGTTATTGATTTCTTATACCTTAGGTAACATCAGCCCTTAGTACAGATCAAGACTTCCTGCTATTCGTCTGCTTGCCATGGTAAAATCAAAAGATCTTTCCCGTTGTGGTATAGATGAGATATTTGAGAGGATTAACCATGACTAAATTGAGCTGTGTGATCCAATAGTAATTTAACATTATATAATTCACATATAAAACTATGAATTGTAATTTTAAAAGGTTTAAAAGCATGTAGAATAGTATATGTAGGAAAGTATATTTCTCCCTTTTTTTTTATATAATCAGGAAGCAAACACACCACACTGATTCACAGTAATCAATTGCAGAGAGAGAGAGAGGCAGAGAGAGAGAGAGGCAGAGAGAGAGAGAGAGAGCGCGAGCGTGTAATATATGTTATATGTAGCAGTAATAACTAATGCTTTATTTTAAATCCTACACTAAAAATTATGGTGATACATGCATGTAATAGTTCTTAATATAAAATTTCAAATGGCAGAAGAAAACCCATCAGAGAAGCTGTCATTACAGGATGCTCTGAAGCCGTCCTCTGTGTCTCCTCCTGTCTGACCTGCAGGTGAGAAATAGGTGTGAGGTGTCAGCTGTCAGGTAGGTGATGAGTGAAGAACAGAACAGAATCCATTTCCTCTTCAAACTGCTGTCAGACATTATCTACTGCACTCTGATCACATCACTCAGACCAGCTGCTTTCTACAAAGTCTCATCAACAACATCTTTAGAAACAAACATCAACAACCAGGAAGCAGCTTCACCTCTGATCACACACACTCAACTCTGCTCACTCACCTGGAGGATCAACATGAAGGTAGATGATGCTGATGGACTTAGTGTTCTTCTCTCTTAAGACACGACACTTATATGTTCCAGTGTCATAAATTGTCACGTTTTTCAGGATCAGAGCCACATCTCCAGCATTCGTCTCTTGGTCCTGCAAATCCACCCGGTTCTTAACGCAAACTTGACATGGCAGACTGGTATTCTGTTCTAACTTAGCTATGATGTTTTTCTGGGCTGAATAAAGAAACAGAGCAGAGAGGTTAAAGGGATTAGACTTTACATCTACAGTCATTACAGCAAGAATTCAGTAAGAGTAAACACGGCAATTTTCCCATGCAAAAAGAAACATTTTTAAACAGACAATTTTTTAAACAAGAAATACACTGTGTGCACAATTATTAGGCAAGTGGGAATTTTGGCCATATCATAATTTTTACGCATATTGTCCAACTTCAAACTGTATAAACTTGAGTGCTTATCCCTTATGCGTTCCTTAAAGACAACTTTTTGTAGTTCTTGTCCCTAAGGACCCAAAACGTACATATATTTTTTCCACTTTTAATAAGTCACTCTTTTAAACTACTTCTGCAAAATAAGTAGTCATATCAAGTTTTAATTATATTTCGGGGGTTTTAACCCTTTAAATCCCAGTATCTTTACATAACCGCATGTGTTGGAGTGAATTGTTAAATGTTGTCATTATTGTGCTTAAAGTTGTGGACCTTGGTTAAACTGCATGATCAAAGACATCCTTTTGTTCCATTCTCCTCCCTGCCTGTTGAATGCTGGGGGATGCTATAGTGTTTAACTGCAGGAACATTGCACTTGAAGATTCTGTTTTCTTTGCTCAAGAAATGTTTACTTCCTGCCCTTTATGGGCTCACCTGTGTTTGTACAGGGTGGACCATTACAGGAGTTGAGCCATATACAGGGGTGAGGGGAGATGACCCTTTTGCGATCACCAGGAAGACACACACGAGGTGCTTTAATTTTTACAACACACCACATGGTGTTTACAATGGGGTGTGTGTTTTGTAACTGTATCAATTTCAATAAAAAGCTGCAAGAGAAGGCTGGTTCTTTGGAGTTGGCTGAGATCGGTAAGGAGCTCCAAGATCCTGATCCAGCGGGCTTCCCTTGCAAGTGAAAAACCGATCGATCTCTGATCGTCTTGCTTTGTTCACCGGAAATAAGTCTCTGAACCAGCAAGGCCTGCGAGCGCAGACCAAACAGCATGGTTTTTTTATAGAACAAAAATGTAAACATTTTTTATAAAATACATTTCAAGTAATATTTGATTTTTATTATAACCAGGCCTTTAGATTGGTACCAACATTGATTTTGATCCATCATTATTCTTTTTGCAGGGGCACATTTAAAACATAGAATTTTGATGCATGCTTTCAATGGGAAAAATGGTGCAACCTGGTGGATGAATAAAAAAAATTTACAAATTTAAGGCCTGTAGTCCAAAATGAAATCCTAACATAAAGGAATGCATTAACTTATGTTATAATAAATGTGGAATGAAAAATAGCATTCATAATGGTGGTTAATGGGGCTGAAAATGGTTCCTATGATAATGAGTGAGGTTTTTTTGCTGCTCGACCATTTTAAGCTAATTTAAGAAACTCAGACTGAAATTTTAAAATTTGAACAAAATTAATATCCTTTGGCAAGTTTGGCTATATTCCATTGAACACAGTGGAAATAGCTTGAAATTAAAACAAGTGGCAGAACTATGATGTTGATGAGACGCATCATAGAGACCAGTGGTCTGTACTGAACCAAAGGAGGGAAGCAAAGCAGAAACAGACAGACCGTCTTTCAGTCCAACAGATCGATCTTGGTCCTGAGGATCCACGCACTCAAGATGTGGATGTTTGTGCAGGATGATGAGCCCAACATCCCGCAGTCCATCTTTGTTCTGCTCTATAGTCGAGTCATGATCATTGTCAGCCGCAAGAGTGTTCTGTAAAGGCTCAATCCTGATGTGTTGAGGAGCTGAAAGAATAAACACGTCACAAAAGTAAAGAGGTTAAAAAGGTCAATTTCTTACAGCAAGAATTCAGTAAGAGTAAACACGGCAATTTGCCCATGCAAAAAGAAACATTTTTGAACAGACAATTTTAAACAAGAAATACACTGTGTGCACAATTATTAGGCAAGTGGGAATTTTGGCCATTTATGAAATTTTTATATTATTTCTCAATATATCATATGTAGCAGTAATAATTAATGCTTTATTTTAAACCCTACACTAAAATTATGGTGATACATGTATGTAATAGTTCTTAATATAAAATTTCAAATGGCAGAAGAAAACCCATCAGAGAAGCTGTCATTACAGGATGCTCTGAAGCAGTCCTCTGTGTCTCCTCCTGTCTGACCTGCAGGTGAGAAACAGGTGTGAGGTGTCAGCTGTCAGGTAGGTGATGAGTGAAGAACAGAACAGAATCCATTTCCTCTTCAAACTGCTGTCAGACATTATCTACTGCACTCTGATCACATCACTCAGACCAGCTGCTTTCTACAAAGTCTCATCAACAACATCTTTAGAAACAAACATCAACAACCAGGAACTGCCTTGAGGTGCTATATAAATAAAATTAATACATATAAAACAAATAAAATTGAATTGAAGCAGCTTCACCTCTGAGCACACACTCACACTCAACTCACCTGGAGGAACACCAACACTCAGTGTGATGTTGTTGACGGCCTTCCAAAACTCGTCTCTTCCACAGTTATCAATGATCAAAGACTTCAGAATCAAAGACCCATTAACATGCTTCATCTTTGTGTCCTGTGGATACATCCACTTATTAAAAGATGGGTGTTGTTTGTGTGGGTGAATGCTGCTCAAGTCTTCAGCCATGCAACGAAGGAAGGAATCTGAAAGAATGGACACAACGTAAAGTAAAGAGTTGCACACGCACACACGCGCACACACACGCGCACACACACGCGCACCTGGAGGATCAGCTCTCAGGGAGAAGCCAATGAGGTTTAAGTTGGCTATTTCTCTGTTTGCTTTTCTCTGGGCAACAGAGCACTCCGATATTCCACCATCAGCAGTTATTGCATGCTTCTGAATTAAAATCAGTTCTCCACCCTTCATCTCATGCAGATCCACCTGGTTCTTAACGCAAACTTGACATGGCAGAATGGTATTCTGTTCTAACTTAGCTATGATGTTTTTCTGGGCTGAATAAAGAAACAGAGCAGAAAGGTTAAAGGGATTAGACTTCACATCTACAGTCATTATGATGTTGATGAGTCACAAAATAGAAACCAGTGGTCTGTACTGAACCAAAAGGGGGGAGCAAAGTAGAAACAGACAGACCGTCTTTCAGTCCAACAGATCTATCTTGGTCCTGAGGATCCACGCACTTGGGACGTGGACTTATGACGAGTCCAGGGATGGACTGCGGGGGCACTCCATCCCTGTTCTGCTCTATAGTTGAGTCATGATCATTGCCAGGCGCTCGAATGTTCTGTAAAGGAGCTGAAAGAATAAACACGTCACAAAAGTGAAGAGGTTAAAAAGGTCAATTTCTTACAGCAAGAATTCAGTAAGAGTAAACACGGCAATTTGCCCATGCAAAAAGAAACATTTTTAAACGGACAATTTTAAACAATAAATATATAAACATTTACACACACACACACACACACACACACACACACACACACACACACACACACACACACACAGAATATAAATATGAGAAGAAAATTCAAAGTAAGAAATATCAAAATTACAAAATTACTGAAGTCATCACTATGCAAACTAAATTAAACTGGGCACAATTTATGGATATAAATCGACAGAGCAGAGTGCAAAGTGGATTAACCTTAAATATTAATTTAGTAGTGGAAAATTGAGCAGTGCAATGTTCATTCAGCAGTTTGAATAGGTTATATTGAGGATGTGAGGAGTCTGGAGAGATGCCCGTGTCCTAACTGGACATGTAAAGATGCTGGAAGGAGGGAAGATCAGTATAGATGATCCTCTGCAGACCTGGTTGTGCATGGTCTGGCCCGGTCCTGCCTCGTGGCAGACAGTTCAAACCACGTAGTGTCACAAAAGAAAACATCTCTGCTCTCTTTAGTTACTAAGAACTTTGTTTAAGGGGCTCGGAAACTAAAAACAGTCAGCTGCTAATGTTTTCTTTTATTTTTTTTCAAAAAGTCCAGTAAGTAGAAGCTGTTAATAATTAATTAATAATACTTGGTTTCAACTTACCGTCAACAACCAGAAAATAAAAAGGCAGGAAGAAAAAAATAACTCCGTATTTTAACAATCTATTGACCATATTCCTCAACGTCGCTTACCGGGCACTGTGAATTTATACTCGCTTGCGGATTGATACCGGGAATCCGCAAAGGCGTGATATGTTTCACCTTATTGATCAGGATATTAGAAGATCGGTGTGTAACCTCAATGATTATAAGTAAATCTATCTGTCATTACCAAAAAAGAAAACAGAAAAAATTAACACAACCAAAAGGATCAAGTCTAAGCAATATTTGATATGAGGACTATTTCTTCTTCCGCTTAGGCGTGTCCACCAAGGATCACTCCACACAGCCGAGACTTTCATTCGAATTATTAAAAAAGAATAAGAAAATAAAAGACTTTAGCTGCCGAGGACTTCTATAAAAAATGCCATTACAGCAAGGGTTTGAGCAAAGATTAATATTATTAATAATATTATTAATATTAATTAATAATATTATTAATATCATTCAGGCTCTAGGGGGCAGTGTGGGGTTTATATATATATATATAATTTTAATATATTAAGTAATTAATATATTAAGTAATTATATTACTAGTATTAGTATTACTAGTATTATTATTAGTATTACTAGTATATTATTAGTAAGTATATTAATATATTAAGTAATTATATTACTAGTATTAGTATTACTAGTATTATTATTAGTATTACTAGTATATTATTAGTAAGTATATTAATATATTAAGAGTTAGATTAACATGTTAAGAGGTAAACTGAAAACACAGACATGCTAATATCCTCCATTATTTATGATAAAATGTGCAGAGAGCCAATGACTTACAAAAACTATATGGATGAGCATTAAAAAACTGAGAATAAAATGTTTAATATTGAAATTTAACTCTGGATGATCTCATAACAGGAGATCTTACATCAGCTTACATCAACCAATAATATATAGAAACTATATGAACATTACAATATATAAACATTACAAAAGATTGAGAATAAAATGTTTAATTAATAAAATGTTTAATTACTAAAATTAAACTCTGAATTTCCCTGTAAAACAAGATTTTATCCATCAGATCAGCTATATTCTGGCTTGTACTTATCTCAGAGCTCAATCCATGTGATAAAATACCTCCTTACATTTCATCATCACACTATTTTTATAATTCTTTCTATTTATATGATGTTAGTCTAAAGTACTCTTAATTGTTCTTTATTTATTTAGATGTATTTTGATTTATTAAGTCTGTTTTTGTGTATTATTATTTTTAGTACTGTTAGATTAAAAGCTAATATAATTCAAGATATTTAAAGAAAGATAGCTGTTGTAACCATCACTTTCTGAATGGGCTTTTAAGATGCTATATTATACACATGTGTGTACAGAATAAGGGACATGGTGCTGCAGAGATTGCTGTTGCTTAGTGTTTAGCACTGTCGCCTCACAGTCAACAGGTTTTGGGGTTTGAATCTACTGAGCCTGTCAGCATGTTTACTAACTCCTAAAGTGTCTGTATAGCTGTAAATGTGTGCTGACCCTGCAACAGACCTGTGACCTGTGACTTTTCTGATGTCACTCAGACAGATTTTGGAGGATCTCCCGAGGAAACATTTCAACTGCAGAGGCTGCGATCCACTAAACTATACAAGAATATTTAAATGTTACTCAGTCTGGTTCACTGCTTGGCCTCCACACTTGAAATCTTAAACATTCGTATTAAATTGATGAGCTACAAATAAGTTCTGTAAACATAAGGTCCAACTTTATCTTCCTGTAACGCAGCCGAGTGACTTCTGTTCTGTGTTTTTAGGACGTTTTTAAAGTCATTATTCAGCAGGTTTACTTTGATCACATGATGATTTTATCATCTGTCTCAGAGAGTGAAACTAGAGAAAACGAAGAGAAAGGGCCACTAATAAACAAAAATCAGTCAATCAATCAATAAAAAGTAAATAACTAAATAAATAAATACATGAATTCAAATCAACGTTACCCACATCTTTAACAATTAGAACCTGCCTTCAGACAGTGAGACGTTCTTTAGATTCTTAAAGTTTGAATCATGAGTTTGTTTTGAGTAGAAGCACAAGGAATTTGCCTGTAGTCAATTTTGTGCTCTTCATATCAAAAGCAAATATAAATTTGAAATACACAATACACAAGTGTACATCTGCTGTTTACACAAGAAGAACACAGAAGACTGAAGTTGAGGTGACAGTGGTAGTGGAGTTGGCATTTTAGCTACAGAATTAATTTGCATGATAGAGTGCTGTGCAAGTACGACTAATGTCATTATAAGTTCTTCAGAAAAAAGTGAAACAGGAGATTCACTGTAATATCAAACATACATGGACACACAGGATACAAGGCAAGAGAGTCTGTGTACTGAGTCGTTCATATTTTATTAATTGTTATCATTATTTTATTTAGTTTTAGTATATAGTTAATTCTGTTTGACCAGAACAACGTCTGTGAACAACTGAGTCAAAGAGGATTTGAACTTCACTATTACTGCAGTTTGTACAGAGAGATGAGCGAAACAATGCAAGGAGGAAATCTTTAGAGGTAGGCAGGATGATGACAACGATGCTAATCAGGTGATGAAAACATGTGACAGCAGCTCAGGAGCCTCAGAGAAACTAGCTTGCTGAACTGCATTCCAGTCAAATAAGGGATGTTTTCAGTTCATGTGCATGTGTCAGAGGTAATGAGATTCTTCCTGTCACTCAACTCTCTGGATTTAAAAAAAACAACAAAAAAAAAATTAATAATGAGAAAAAAAGGTAAGTAAAAGTCTATGTTGTTGATCAGAGCAGCCTCACAGGGTTAAAATCAGAAATGAAACGGGCCCGAAGCTCGAGCACTTTCATTTTGTTCAGCCTTTTATCGTAACAAATGTTTTTTTCATCCAGTTTTAACACAGGAAACCTGCAGCAGCGTTTCTGTTAATCCATCTGAGACACACACACAGAAATCTTTATTTAAAATCAATGAATACATGCTAGAAACTTTTGGCCTAACAGACACGCTGCAGTGAATGTTGTTGAGTTCTGAAAAGTAATAATAGCCCGAAAATACAAGCAACCATCCACACAAATAAAAATCACAGAACAATAGGAAAAAATGATTGGGAAGAGAACTCATGCCACATAATACAAAAGAAAGGCACACACACACACACACTGGAGAACAAAGGGCTCAGAAGCCTGAGTGATGAGGGTTATTCAGAGCATGGCTCACAGGTAAGATGAATGTAAAAACTGTAGTTTGTTGAGTTTCTACACAGGTTTATCTTGAAAAGTGTTGATCTCAATGACATAAACCGTTTAAATAAAACACCACACATGTCACCCATCTGTGGGCTGTGGGAGGAAGCCAGAGTACCTATACGCCCGTGCAGGTTTCATTTAAACTTATTGTGTAGATACAGAAAGTCTTTAGTGCTCAGGTTTGATGTCAGCAGTTTTTGGACAGGTTTTTAATCTGTAGGCAAAACTTTGTTGAACTGGTAAGCTGTTCATCTGTGTGGAACTGGGTGAGCAGGATTCCAGTGAATTTACTGTGACCACAGATAATGCTGCAAATCTTTATCACATTTTCACAGAAAAGAAACTAAACATGTATCCCCATGAGAAAAAAGAGAAACAAAACCCAGACTTGCTTATTTATGATAAGATCTACAGAGAGAACAGCACTGATGAGAAAAGAGTAAGAATATATTTATATGCTAAAATAAAATCCTTTCTGGAAGAGTGACATAGAAACTTTTACCTTTAGTTACACATTTACACAGCGTTCAGGACACCAGAGTGCTGCAGTCATTACTGCGTGTAATATGTAGCATGTAGCCAACACGTTCT